ACCCTCCCATTTCTCCAGGCTTGGGACCAGCACAATCAGGACACAGAGCACAGCGCCCCCCTTTGAGGCTGGATTGCGGGCAGTTGGGGTTTCAACACCTTGCCCAAAGACACCTCTACATGTAGCCTTGGATCAATCCTGCCCATAGGCAGGCAGCCTCCAAACCCAGAGCCACGTTCCCTCCTCCTTGTTGGTCTCACTTGCTAAAAATAGACTCAGTGGAAGACAGGGAACACATGTGGCTTGCTTATGGATTAACAAGGCCATGTCTTAGCTGAACCTTGCTCAAACTCGTATGACGGTCTCAATACAAGTCCTTCATGTAGGTTAAAATATTTAAAGAACTGATTAACACAGCATCAGTTTTAGCTTGTTATAATGATAAAGCAGAAAATTTGATTTCTAAGAGTTAGCCGTGACTCAACTCCAACAGCTCCAATTCGCTAGCAAAATGCTATCTAAGATGGTGATGCTGATATTCGTTCATGTGGCCACAGTAATGCGTTAACCTTAAAGTTGAAACTGAAATTGTGCATGATGCTCCTCTCTGCAAACAAATGAGAACATTTTAGCTGCTTAAACAAAAAAGACTTAAGAATGAGGTCTGCTCTGATGGGTAAAACCTGAAATGTGTATTCCCATTCTTAATACTAGTAGTTAAGCCTTGTCCACTGAGTTTATTGACATGTGCACAAAATGAACGAGACAAAAAACAAAAAACTGCAGAATTTGTGCACACGTTTTTACCCTAATCCCAACCACTCATCACTCTGAGCAACAGGGAAGGTCTTCAAGGCAGATATATAACGGCAGCAACACATTAAAAATCATGTTGAAAGGCAAGTGATCCACTGAAAAAACCGTGTCGAACGACTTACTGAATAAAATCACTGGGATCAAATTAACCCAAATGAGGACTGCTTCATTCTTTGGAGAGAGGGATTGCAAGAGCAAGATGTAAAAGAACAAAAAATCCATTATTCAAGGTCAGGATACATTATTTGAAAATGTTTTTTAAAGCAGTAATAAGTGAGGCCACAACTCTTAGTTGTGTTTGTTTTCAATGCGAGCTGAAGCATTTCATATGAATTCTACTTTATTAGAGTTGTACATGGTTAGATGTAGTAACGCAGAGCCTTTTTTTTGCATTGGATGGGTTTGGTTTTATCAACTACTGTTGTGCTTCAGTAAACAGGATGCGGCTGGATGAATCTGCCTCTGTAATGTCCTGACGTGTACGTATAAAATAAGGATGTTTTCGTTGCTCTAGTCAACCAAAGATTTCAATGTACTCCACGAGATGCTGGAGGAACTTTTTGTTTCTAATTTTAGAAGCGCTCTCCTTTGTCCGACAGTCTCAACAGAACCAGCCACGGTTACGATGCTGCTGAATAGATAAGGAGCCGAGCAGGGAACTGCGATGTGACTTATTCCATTTGTGATTAGGTAAACAATCGTCCACGCCCGTCTCGCGCACGGATCTGGATCTCTTATCGACACACCGTCGGCTGCCATAACCGGTGCTTGTCATGAGGAAATTCCCTCCCGGTCCAGTGAGCAAGCGCCTGGTTACTTCCTTCCCCTCTTCCCCACACCTGGTCAAGCCTCATCAAATATGCCAACACACTGCAACAAAAATTTTTAAAAAAAATCTGAGGACTCAGTGCTCATTTTCTCTCTCATTTTGTTCGCTCTCCCACTCGTTTTTGCCACCCTCTCCATCCTCACTTCTCCTCTGTTTCCTCCTCTCATCTCCTCCTGTCTGCCCCAGGTGCTGTTTCTCTCCCTCATCCTCAAACACTCTCTCTTTCTCTGCCTTCCATTTCATGTCTCCATCATTATCTCTCTTCACCTCGTTTCCTCAGATGCTGTCTCTTCCTTTCCTTGCCTGTCTCCCTCCCTCTTTATCCGTCTCCATCTCCTTTGGCTCTCTGCATGTTTCATTTCACCCCTCCTCCTTACCCCCCCGCTGTCCCGTTGCTGCTTCGGTTGGTGGCATGTTAAAAAGGCGCCACACAGAGTTGGATGAAATCTAACCTGACAGATGCCATAATTGTTGCACGAAGCCAAATGATTTTTTTGGGAGTTAACATCCAGAAATAACATGCTTCTTATTTCCTTTAACACGTGTCTGAAGAATATTTCCTATTAAAAAAACAACTCTCAAATTGGAACACCTGGCACTATATTCTGGCAAACTGCATGTCAGGATTAGTTTTGTTTTCAAATTTTACACTTTAACAGCAGAACTGCCACTTGAGTAGATTAGATTGAATTCGAGACTCAAACCTTAAATCTCTGATTAAAAATCAATATTACCCATGCTAAACTGTGTAAATTAAAATCTGTTGAAGGGACATTCTGTCCCTTTATAATAGATGATTGCATAAAGTACTTGGTCATAATATTGCCTGCTATGGACAGCAGTTCAAGTGCTAAAGGTTTGGGATCAGGGATTCATTCTGATGCGTAACCGAAGGTAGAAACTGCTTTTGTAAAGATACATGATTCCAACTTGTCAATGTAAAAAATTCTGAACTCAGTTATTAGCAGTACCCAGAAGGGGCTGGTTCTGTGTGCAGAATATCTATGCATCACGACTAGTAAGACATTTCGAGGTGGTAGAATACATTTTAGATTTGCATTTTACATAAATTTATCAGTTGATGAGTTGCAAAAATAAAAGATAATCAGTCAGATCCAAGTTCTGCATTGAGGATCTAAGTAGCCACTGTGGCCTTATTACTCTATGATAAATTCATGGTATCATGAATAATACAACGCAAGTATATGTTCTCAGTAAAGAGCATGACCAGTTTACCCACAAGTTTAACACCTTGTGTTCCCCACTCTAACGCTGAACAACTCAGAATAAAAATCCCTATTACAGTCTAAGACAGAAGTAGGCCAGCATTTGTAATAGGGGGGAAGCACATAAGAGCTTAAATAATGAATATGCACTGTAGGAGGGTGAGATGAATGAATTATTCGAATTACAATTAATACAAAAAATAAATATAGGATGAAAATAGAGAGGCAGACAGAAAGAACAAGGTACAAGTGCAAATATCTGCACTTATCCTAGGGAGAAGACTTTGACAAGGAAAAAAAAACCAAGAAAACAAAGTAGGGGGGGGTGAACACAAGTGAGCCAGGAGCAAGGGCCACCAACACACTAAGAGACACAGGAAAATGAAAAGAAGAAAATGAGAAGGAAATAAAAGGGGGATAGGAAAGGAGATTAGATTGAGTGTTGTAAGGAGAAAGAGGTCCCGCAGGCTTTGGCAAAGTTGTGATTCCAAAAGCGTAACCTCTTCATCCGTCACCAGCTCCCTCGACATGACAGCTTTACCCATCCCTCCACCCCAGAGGCACAGCGCGGGCATGCTAGTTTGCCAAACGGGCTCTCGACAGAGCCTCGTACCCGCCATCCACTTCCGTTACTAAGCTTCCGGCACGTCTGGCCCTCCCTACAAGCATGCGGCAAACATGCAAAAAGTCTTTTTCCAAATCACTTTATTGTCAGTGTGAAAAGCAGAGTCTGTCAATAACAGAATTATTAAATATTACATGGCAAAAAACCAAAACATTGACATTTGTTATATAATTTCTGTGGCTCTGACATTTGGATTTGCCATTGTCAGTGTATCTATTATAGTAAAGACTTTATGAAATGATGATGGATCTGTTAGTGCCATGAAAAGAATCCATTTATAGTTACATGTGTCTGACCAAAAAGGAAATGCGTATAGAGGCTTCTAACTTCATAAGACGTTTAAGTGAGCAGTTCCTCTACTTTTTGGGGGCCCACTACAGCATGCTTCCCCGCTTTTTCCACAAATAACCACACTGATGTGAGTAAAGACAACCAAACCAAAACATAGGCACCTTTAAATGAAAAGGAGGCTTCAGGATGACAAAACATGATGATTAGGTGCGTATGGGCTGGGGCGTGGCCAAAACGTCAATTAAATAAGCACAGCTGACAGGTGAACACGTACATGTACCTTTAAATATGTTTTACATACGATTAATGTGATCCCGGAATAATCAAAGCAAATTGAAACAAGAAACCCTGTTGCAAGTAAAGCAGATCAGGAATATGTGGGTGTTCCTGACTGGAGTCTAGAAAGCTCTTCAATGAGGATCATAAAAATGACCTCCGCCACTGCGGCTCCAAATGATAAAAAGTTAAAAAGACGACGGTAAAAGTTTAACTTGTAATGAAAACCCCGCAAAATAGCTGCAAATGTCTCTTCAAATAACCTGATAGAAGATCAGATGCCGGTGAAAATTAGACCTGAGTTTCCACTAAATTTCCTTTTTTTTTGTCATCATGGGACTTATGGCGGGCTTCTTAAAGGGAGTCTGTTTCCTACACTTCCAGCTGCATCCAGCTTCTCCCGTAAGGATTTGTATTGTAAGGTTTTAGAGCTTTGATTTTACGAGACAGAATTTAACCCGATGTTAATATGAAGAATATTCAAATTATTAAATATTTAATTTCTCATGGTATTTAGCGATGTGGACCCTTACTCATTTGCACTCTCTGGTTGGGGTTTGAGGTGAACTCGATGATCCGATCTTTGTGCATAACCCTTCCCCAGAGCAGAAAAACCTGCCACTTGAGTAGCCACTGCAAGGATTAGGAAGAACCTAAAGGAAGAACTCGACATACATTCTCATTCCCTCACCCAGGGACAATACGCACAGACACACAAGCTTCCGAAATGTGTCGAGCATGCAGTCTGTCTTCAGCTCTGTCCTCAAGGCACTGGGGAGACTTTTTGGCTACCTTGAGAACAGGCTATATTTCAACAGAGTTCTCCGTACTCATAATCTCCTCCTCATCATCTACTCCTGAATAATTATGCAAGACATACTTTTATCCAAAGTGCTGACACAAATTAACAAGTATAAGCCCTGAAATAAAGTTAGTTAAAATCTGATAATATGCAATATTATTATTGGGGTAAGTAATTATTATTACTGAAGATAACTCAGGAGCCCTGAAAAAAAGAGAGGAAGAGAGGAAAAGATTTCAAATAATGCCAAAATTGTGTTATCCTGATTAATTTGCCATTGCCATTTTAACCCCAAAAAATGTCATGAAATGAATGAGGAATTTTGGTTTTATTTCCTGAGATATAAATCCTTAGACAGGAAAGGGGTGGGCTTTTTCCAAATGACTGCAAATAATAAATAAACTAACTGCATTAAAAAGAGCCTGTCATTCTTTACTAAAAATACATGAAGATTACATTAGGCATAAACCAAAGATAACTTAAGAGCAGAATGCATGTTTTATAGATTCCCTCACATTACAGGAAAAACAATTCTGTGCTTTCTTTCTTCATATGCAATGTTAAATAACACTTAAAGCAGTCTATTTAATGGAGTTTAAAAGTACAAGTACAAACGCAAGGACAATTCCTTCCAATGTGCATATCAATACTTGATTAGAGTTACAGTATGATCATTTGATTACACACCTTTTCTCTCCCAGAAAGAAAAATTTGCTGTCACCATGGTTATTTCTAATACTTTTTTAGAGGAAATCTGGTCAATTTGAATCACATTTTAACATAACTTTTACAAGAAAACGTCTATAGCACAAGTCTGACAGATGTCCTGCTGCAAAAGAGCAAAGAAACCCCTACGTTTAGCTGTAAAGCACAAATGAAGCAGTTTTTTTTTTACAAACAGCTAATGCTGAGGTCATGCCTGCTTTTACACCATGGAGCCACTGCACCAACAGGAAAATGATGAGAAAGGACTGGGGAGGAGGTTGGGGAAGAGAAGGTGTGAAAAAAACAGGATGGAGGGTGTTGGGGGTGAAATGCAGAAAGAGTAACGAGGAAGCACTGATGCATTCTGGTGCATTTTCTGCTGCAGCACCCAGGGAATAAAGGCGAGTTCCCCCTAAAGGATGTCCCCTGAGCTGCTCACAGAGCCTGCTGGTCAGGCCTGACGCAGGCAGAGAGGAACCAGAGGAGAGAGGGGGTAGCCCTGGGACTGTGGAGAGCCTACACGGTGAAACTGGAGTGAGATCACAGCGGCTGTCTTTTCTGGGAGTTTCGGAAGAATAAACTTCCCCACTGCGGGGACAGAGAGTTGTGTAAAAGCGGCTGCTACAAGCCCGATAATCAAAGCGAGGAAAGAAAGCCTCTAACAGCCAGTCTCTTTTTTGCTTTACAGCTGAACAAGGCAAGGAGCTGCACACTGTGTCTTTGACTGAAAAAAAAAAACACTTTTTCAAGTCCCCAAATCTGAAATCGAGAAAGAACAAAAAGGGATTACATGCTTGACATTTCATGGATCTGTCATTTCAGCTCGGGCTCTTCTCAGGATTGACTAAACATATGCATTTCCTGAAACACTATCCCACATGGAGGAACATGAGAGGAAAAAAATTAGAGAAGAAAACACCACCTCCACTACCAACAACCCATGTCCATAAGGGAGTAGTTGTTTTTCTTACAATGATAATCAAATCAATGTAATTATTTCTTGTTGGTCGGGCAAACCAAGACCTTTAAAGACCACCTCTGATGAAAATCAAGACTTCAGTATTGTTGAAAGCGTTATTGTGGCATCAAGATAAATACAGTAAAACAGGGGCCCTGTCTGAGGGTAGGGGACTGCTCCAAAGAGGCTACAAATCCATCTCATAAGAGTTAGAACCGAACCAATCCCAAGTCAAACAGACTCGGGTGGAGGAAATCCATGCCCACTGTAAATCCACAAGAATGACTGACAAATTCTGCTCCGGTAGCAATAAGTGAAATAGTATGCTAGGTCGAAAAAGGAAAACTGGGAATGTTTGAGCAGCAACAGCTGTGTCCAGTGAGGAGAACACTAAGCAATAACAATGCACTTTATGTCCACTCTGGAGTGCCGTTTGCTTGAGATTACATGGACGTGTCAAGAGTCAGCTGGGGAAAATAAAATGCTCTGAGGACAGGTTAGACCAAAATGGATCTTTTCGTTCTAAATGACCAACAATTATGTTCGGAGATAGAAAGAGCTGCAGTCCAGCACAGGACATTCGTCCCCTAAATGAAAGGCAATGGTAATATTATTACAACTTGAGCCTTTCTTTTGGACTATCCAACCTAAGTAGGCTTGCCCTCATTGTTTCATCGGTATCATTAATTGAAACAATGAATAATTAACTACAAGAGTCTAATTTAAAAGGCGAAAGCCCAGACAACTGTCTATGCAGTGGGTCATCAAGCTCACACATGATTTAGTTCCAAATCTTATGTAAAATGAATGTTAAGGTTTTGGAATCATCAAAACCTTTGGCATTTCCATCCAATAGAAATTTGTGGAGAGAGCTGAAGGAGGTAGTAAGTTAGTGGCTGAAAATGTTTGTATATTTGTCAGTCGTAAAATACCCCCAAGCTAAATTTACACATTCAAATCACTTGAAAAATGCTTGAATTTCTTTCAAAAGCATCGGGCACTTTCATAGTCCTCTCTGTCGTTGTTTCGGGGATAAAATGAGATGACGACTGGAAGAAAAACCTCAAACCAAACACCTCACATCTCCTGCAACATTTTTGCAAGCTTAGCTCCCCTCCCCAGGAGCCGTATCGATTTTCTAGTCCCATTACTGCTGTGCTGCACATGGAGGACCATGCCGTGGAGCAGGACTGAGCTTTATCAGTCTATGCAGATGCTGGAGGTGGGGGCCTGGGCAGGAAGGGCACCTCTGCTGCCACCCCAGACTCTTGCCCCGGCAGGCAGGGGACGGAATGGGAGCAGTGACCCATATTGAATGCAAGGACACTGTCCATATTTCATTTTCAACCAATATCCTGACCTCTATCCATTTTTCTTTTCATTTAATTTCTTTTGAAACATGATATGATTTAACAATGTTTACATTGAATGCTTCATAAACATGCATCATGTTTTAAAAAGGAGCAGGATGATGAATAAGCTTATTAAGCCCTACCCCTCAGTTACATGTGTGATGGTGGTAAAGGACAATTATTTACAGTAAAACAAACAGTATACCAACTTTTTATATATAACTCTTTTTTGTATTCATCAAAAATACGTTTCTTATATTCTTTTTTGATATGCTGGATGCTTTTACATTGTTTAATGTTTTCAGGCAAGCTGTTTCAGAGCTTCACTCCCCTGATTGATAAACTAAAGCTTCTTTTTGTTGTTCGAACATACTTAGTTTTGAAATTTAATTTTCCTCTTAGATTATATTTTCCATCTCTATCAGAAAATAATTGTTGCATGTGCGCAGGAAGTAAGTTATTTCTTGCTTTATAAAGAATTTGAGCAGTTCTGAAATTGATCAGATCTACAAATTTGAGAACTCTTGAATCAAGGAACAAACTGAGTGTGATCTCTATAATGTTCGTTATTCGTGTTATGATCAGTGCACGTGAAAGTTTGTGGCGTGGAGGAAATCCCACCTAATCCATCGCCCATTAAGTTCATATTGGTGCTCTGTTGTTTTGATATTTTTGCAATTTCCTCAGAAAAAAAGTTTAGGGACTGCTTGATTTCAAACATTTCCAATGAGCTCTGCTCATCTGTCCCTTCACACCTCTCAGCAGCCATTTTTTCGACAGTCCCAAACTATCCACATACGGGCACTGAAGTTAAACCCTGTCCATATCAGACATGAAAAGTTAACCGATTCCCACAGTTTTTACAGAAAAATACATGTAGGTATCAAGCTGTTCATTATAAACAAACGGTAGTAAAATGGTGTACTAGCCTATAGTATTTTTTTCTGTAATTTTTTTCATTAATTAAAAAAAAGGTTTCATGCATCACAACATTTTTGAAAAAACAATTCATGACACATTATATTGTGTTATTTATTTAGCTAAATAAAAATCAGAGGCTTCTACAAAAGCAGAGGTCTGAAAATACTTGTTCTGGAACACTAAGTTATCTAAGTCAAACACTGTAGTGATCACAGAGTCATAAGGCCATTTTCCCCAATAGGCCCCTTCAGTGATTGAGCCCACCATGAACATCTCCGAATACCAAAGTATTGAAGAGTCAGATATCAGGCCGACTGTCTTCAAGCTCTAGTTTAGCTGAAATAATGATCACAATCTCTGCAGTGAACCAACAGCAGAATCCCTGTTTAAAAAAATCAAAAAGATTCTGTTTTATAATGGACAAAATCTTTACAGAATGGCTGTGAAGAGACCTGAAGAGAACTTTGTGTAGATAAAAACCTACACTGTTCCTTAGATTCCGATTCAATCTTCACTAGGTGTACAAAAAGACGTCATCTGTGAATCTGAACGTCATTGTTGCATGAAGCAAAGGAAACCATACAGACTTCAGAGCTCTTTTGACAAGTAGGTGAGCAGAACAACATCTGTGTTCACCATGAACCTTTTCTTTACATGTTTACCATTAGGGCTTAAATATTTCCACTCTTCATGACATCAAGCTGTAGAAGTCAGAGCCACTGGAAAAATCTTTTTTTTTTTTTTTAAAGCGTTCCACATACGGCATCTTTACTTGTCACCTCCAGCAGGTCGCCAAGAAACATTTTTCCCAGCCGGCAGGCCGTATTTCCAGCACATCGGATATGACTGAAGGCAGCATCAGAGCCGACTTCCCAAACCGGCTGTCGCTAATTAAAGAAACGTATCTGATTTCTCACTACTCTCAGGTTTTGGGCTGCAGATGATCGCCTGTGAGCAGGACTTTTTCGAGGTGCTGATATCGAGGTTGTGTTTTACAGGGATCTGTGTTTTGTTTATGTTTAGCTCAAGAGGCTCGGAATTCAGCGCTTTTTAATTTAGAGCAGGTCTCAGGTTTGAATCAGTATAGAGGGCAAACAAAGTCCTACATATTTCACACTTAGTTAACATTTGCCTGTTAAATCCACTGCTTAGTACAAAGTACATCGGAAGCTGGGTGAGGATGTCATTAGGATTCGGAAAAATCCGGTCACAGCCAAACATAGGGCTGTCGTTCATCATGTCTACTTCCCATAGAAGATGAGTAAATAGGGGGAAATATGCAAACCCATCAGAGCAGTGGAGGGAAAGTTAAGAGGTTGCGACAGCAGTTCAACCAACCCGACCGGCGCTGCAATTTAAAGACGAACATCAACATCTCCTTTCAGGCACATAATTCAAAGAACAGTCCTTAGTGAGACTTACCGTCCCTATGGAAACCGTCTGGATGGCAACACAGCAATAGACTGAACCGAAGCTTCGTGCTTGCTGGATGCTTTGATTTGTCCTTTACTTCCAGCATTATATTCCCCCCAAAGGAACAGTGGAGCACTTAAAGTAAATCAGCATTCTTTTATTAAGCATGTCACTGAATTACTTAGGAAATTTATTTCTTTGCCAAGGCAAGCGGCCAAGATAAAGGTTCAGTACCGGTAATTTGTCAGTAACATATGCATGAAAAAGCAAAGAAAGAAAAAGTGATCCACGGGTAAACAGAGAATGCATCAAATGTTAGAGTTATAAATGCAGATCTAGCTTAAATAGCTTCAGTCGATTATTAGACTGTGTGGATGGGACACTTTTTATTTGACTTTCCAGTTTTAGAGACTACAACACTGCAGCTGAATTTGACGGTTAAATGAGCCAAAACTTGCGCTTACCTCCATCCTAACACCATTAAACTGAATAGACTTTTAAATAAAACCGGGACGCCTAAGTGCACACTCCTTCCCAGATTTACACACAAACACTAAAGGGTAGAGTCCAAGTGGGCAACATACCATGTGCTGCATTAGCTTGATTGGATTCCTGCAAACCGGGAGAACAGTACGTTTCTCCACAATGACTTGGTGTAACTATGTGGGAATACATATTTCAACCAGTCATATTTTGTGACTGTTTCTATTCATGCTGGACATGTTTACGCTGTGATATGACATCAAACACCAAAACAGATAGACGTTGAGATCAAAATATGAATATTGGGCTAACAAAAGGTCCAATCAGAGGACTTATCTGTCCTCTGATTAATTAGAGGACAGATTATAAAATGCCAGATGTTACATGTACACAGCAGCGGAGGAACAGCACTAAATAAGATAAGCTGAGAGTGATAGGCTTTTGTTTGTCTGAGCAAGCTTGCAGCAGGGTGTTAAACCTCAAGGGTCCCATGCAGGATGCCTGGAAAAGTGCTGGCGGGGAGAAAAATGGACCACTCAGCAGCATGAGGATCGGCGTAAACATGTGTTGTGTCAGTCTTGTGGCAGCGAGGGGGTCACAGTCGCGCATTCCTGAGATTTAGGAAAAAGGTTTGGGAGAGTGAGTTGGAAAATTTGGGGCATACAACAGGGTAAAGGACAAATCTATGCCTAGATAAATAAAACAAATGTGTGAGACTATAAGGCACTTTCCATGCACAGAGAAGCATGCTCTAACAGGCATGAAGAGTGGTAATTACTCCATATGAATCAGGCCTGTGTGCTGCACACCACTCATTTGTTTATTAATCCATCAGTGCCTTGTTAAACAACCATTTCTCCAGGGATGGAGCTTTCCTACTCTGCAGCTGTGTCGCCGCGTTATCTTCACCCAGTCAGGAAACAAAAGTCGGCAACCTTACATTCCCAAACCGAGGATGAGAACTTTCTCAAGAAGCTTCAAAATAAATCTGCACATCGTAAAGAAATCAAAACTGCAACATTTCTATTTCGATTCATTCTTAGGCTGTCCCAATCTTTAGAATAACATTAATAAGCAACATTTGGACCATCAAAACAGGTGTACTGACAATCTCCAACATCAACCCTATTAACCCTCGTCAGTATTTCCTTCACTCTCACGTTATGATTGTAAGCAACACAGAAAAATAAGTTCTGTATTTTTTCATGCCAGCAGAGTGAAAATGACCCTAAGGAGAGCTTTCAAGGCACTGTAATTGTGCCTTTAGTGAATATTCTACAAATTCCTTCCTCTTGTTTTGTGTATGGATGCGCTCCAGTGAATCTTCTAGTATAATAGTACTTTTGGATGAAATGTCACTCATACTGCTCCTCTTTGTCTTCTAAATACATGTGCAGAAAATCTAATTCATCACTGCGAGTAATTATGGAAATTGTGGGAGATTTGTTGGTTGTTCTGTAGCAGCAGTGTGCCGCTCGGAAAAGAATCCAGAGGTCTCTGAGGAGAGAAGCAGCTATTCTTAAACATGATCCACCGTAAGAGTGATATGATTGCTTAACTGACAAATAGCCTTCATGTTTTATGATAACTTTTACCTTTAAGTCAAACTGACTACATAGATTAGCATTGAGCTGTGTTTTATTTAGTGTCCACCTTTTGAATGGCTTTTTTCCTTACTGCATTAGCCACAGCATGAAACTTCATGTTTCCATATGACTACACAAATGTCAGTTTAATTTACATTTCTACCATATACTGTGCACATAGTTCTTCGTTGAATAGAAGTTCTTTCATGTAATATCCAGTATTTTGGAAAATGAACCCATCTGCTCAGCCTCTAAGAGAACAGATCAGTGGCACAGCAGCAATTAAAGTGTGTTTTGTTTATTTTAGAGTCAGACTAGCTATGTGAATTAAGAAATCATAACTGCATTGAAACTTTTTAAAAACCAAGATTATTAACATTGTGAGCATCAAGTACACTTCTTGCTGCAAAATCTATTTCCCTTTAGTTCCAGCTTTACCGAAAAGGTATGAAAGTCCAGCTACAATTAGTTTCTGGCTTCATGGCTGAGCAGACCGATGCACTGTGATCAGAATCATCATTCTCTCACAATGACAGCGGCCTCACCGCTGTGCATTCGGGTCTCTACACAGCTCTTTCCTCATATCCTTCAGCAGCCTTCAGGCACAGCCCAAAAAAAAAAAACACCTCTCACATAAATCAAGCAAAACCCTCAGAGATCAGAAGGCCTCGGGAGAATGCTGATCACTCTGACAATGATTCCTCTGCCGCCACTTTTCTGGGCTGTCTCTGCCCTTGGGAAGGCTCAACCTGAAGCACAGAGCCTGCCAGTCATCCACAAACAACCAAGAGGGTCTCCACTGGTGGAGAAGAGGACGTTGTTGATGCACGTCTCCTTGATTCTGTGTCTGTAGACCAGTGCGTTAGATGCAAGTGGACACAAGCTGTGAAATACACATTTATGTATTTCTCAATTTCGAACAGATGCCAGTATTTAAGAATATAATATAAGAACGGCTTCAAACAATTCTAAGAAATGTTATAGACTCTGTTCCACAGAAGGTATCAACACGTTTTTGCACTAATCCGATATCTTGATATTACTGCAACACTGCCAAAAATGCCCACTCAGTTGTAATATTGTGTGTTTTTTTCTAGTGCAGTATTGTACACAGATGGTACAGCTGACAAGGCTACGTAACATATGCAATTTACATAAGACATCACTATTACTCACAGAGGCTTACTACAAAAAAAATGCAACCTTTTTATTCATGGCTGCCCCCAGAAGGTATCAAAGCTCGTCATCTCATCATTCATCATGTCACCATCCACCCACTAAATTAAAACACTGTCAGTGATTATATGAATCTAAGCAAGACCTCTGACCTTTGGTGTGATTCATTCTTTTCATGCTTTTTTTATTCGAACTGTCGCTCCTGCTTTCTGTCAGTTTAAAAAAGATACAGGAGAGAGGAGATGGAAAAAAGGAAAAGAGACGAAATCCAGAGATTGACTAAACAAAAGCAACGGGGATTAGACAGGCAAGAGGAGGGTTACTTAAGGCCTTCCTGTTTCCACGATGGTGTGACGAATCCCAGTTGAATCCCTGTTGCGTGAGACACACAAGGGATTGCTACCAAAGCGCTCAGATGACAGCAAAAACCTAATGACAGGAAAACAAGTAGATGTACGGCAGTGCGTGCTCAGATGAGAGAGTAGGCTGTCTAGCCAAGAAAATAAGGAGTTCACAGAGCGATAACTGCAAATGGCACATGAATAGTTTACCAAAGTGGGCTCTAAATTAAAAGATGTCAAAAAGGCAAAGATGACAGAATCTTTGTGTGAAAGGCAAAAGCTAAATGAGAAAAGCTGCTGGCAGATTGGAAAAGAGCCTTGATCACAGTATGTGCTCCAGCTCTTTCATGACAGGTTTACCACCATCAAACTGCAATTCAGAGGCAAAACACAATTTGATTGTTGCACATGACATACAGTCAAATTTTTTTACTTTTGACTCAAAAATTCACTTAATTCGTCAGTTTTGCTTAACTTATTACCAGGGAAAAACCTTCCACCGCCCATGTGTCCAACAGCACACAGCTGATTAATAAAACCAATTGCTCTGTAGCTATGAGAATTAAAAAGGAATAGCCTTACCAGGTCTCGTCGTTTTTGAACTCCAGCTCTCCGTATGTGTCTTCAAAGTCCTCCCCTCCACCTTTGGCGAGTCCCTCCAAGGTGCGATAAGGCACAATGATCGTCCCCCTTGCTCCGGAAGTCCTCAACACCTTGACCTCCATAATACCGATACTCTCACTGACATGGACGGAACCGCTCTCAAAGGTGAAAATGCCTGAATGATCGTCATCCAGAATGGTCACAGTGGCCACAGCCGGGAATCCTAACATGGCCTTTGGGTACGGGAGACTGTTGGGAGACAGCACCTCATCTTCGGTTTCCAAGACACGTAAATTACTGAGACGCACAAAGAAGTGCTCGTCCTCCTCAAATATGTCATCATCTATGATCCCAATGCTTATTTCCTTGGCCATCTCTCCGGGTTTGAACAGCACTGTACCCTCTGTGAACTCATAGTCTGCTCCAGCGTTAGCCGACCCATCCTCCGTCTTGTAATCCACGTAGATCGTCTTGTTGATGTCACCACCCTTTCTAGTGATGGTCAGGATGGCGGCGCCACAGTTCTCGAGGCACTGGTAGACGGCAGGCTCGAAAGCGATGCGAGACACGTATTCCTCCGGTTCCTCCACACGCACCTCCTGCACGCTGACACTCTTCTTCGCCTGTTCCGCCACGTGCTTCTTCAGTATGTTCCCCGCGCCCGTCATCATCCGAGTGGCTTGGATGCGGTAGAAGGCACGGCTCTTCTGCTGGTGCGAGAGAGCGTAGTAGTTGGCCATCTCGACCAGCTGATCCAGTTCTTTCTCCGGGTGCTTCTGCTTCAGGTCTTTCAGTATGCGAATCATGTCGCGACGGGACTCGTCTACCTCCTTGCCTTCGATCAGACCTATCAGATTGCTGGCCGCACCTCCATCCATGAAGTGGGAATTGACCATCTTGCCATCCATCTCGATCCCCTTGGAGCGTTCGGTCTCCGTCTCAATGATGACGCCTCTGTGTTTGTCAGTGCGATACTTCTTGTGCATGTACTTGTAGAAAAGCAGTCGTCTGTCTGCCACCCAAGCAAGAATTACACATATGGGGAAGAAGGCCAGAGTAACAAGGCCCTCCCACACCTGGACTACATTAGGAGAAAAGACGGCCAGGATCATGTAGAGCCAGATGTAAGCAAAAATACTCCAGCCCGCAGTGACAAAGAACACTCTGAGGTGCTTAACCTTGCGCACCTCTCCTTGAGGGATGACAGACACACAAATGCCAATAATGACAAACATATTGAAAGCTGCGCTACCCACAATTGTGGAGGGCCCAAGCTTACCAGATTTGAAGTCATGTCCACAAACTTCAATCACAGAGAGCAATATCTCAGGGGCAGATGAGCCCAAGGCCATGAGTGTGAGATTGGAGACTGTTTCGTTCCAAACCCGTATCGTGGTTGTGGTTGTTTCTCCATTGGGCCTCTTGATGACAATTTCTTTCTCCTGGGATGTGATGACTTCAATTGCTGCCATGAAGCGGTCAGCAATTATAGACACTCCAAGGAACATGTAGATCAGGGCCACGAAGTAGACAATGACCCGAGCAATCTTGTCTCCCATTGAGGGGTCCTCTGGATACCAGATGGGGAGGATGATCCCCTTTTGACACTTAGAGATTTCTTTGCATGTGGCATTGCTAGGGCTGAGCAGAGGACTCGGAGTGGTCCGGGCCTCAGAGCAAAGGAAGGTTACAGCCACGGAGACCAGCCCCAACCAGAGGCAGGCTGACGAACCTGGTTTTACAGGCCTTGAGCCCTCCATCCACCCTCCTTCGTCTCAAGGGTCCTTGCCACGCTAAAGGTCCCTCTGAGATCCAGCCCTGGGCTGTTCTTTACTCCAATCACCACCTAAACAGGCCAGAAAAAACACACACATACAAATATGAGTTAAATTCCCCTCATGACAAAAATCCTTGAGTTTGTCCTCATGTCAAAAACAACAGCCTGACAGGAAAAACATAGTGAATCAACAATCAGCAACCATGGAAATATAATATTGAATTTAATGACCTAATAGATAGTGTGTACTTTCATTGGAGGTTTCCATGTTTCAAATCCAAAGATTGGGGAATGCAAGTGGAGGAAGTGTGCAATCTTAAGTGTTTACCCAGAAAGAAACACACAATAAAGCATGAAAATAACTTCAGCTTCCCCCTTTTAAAACACCACTGTCAGGGGACCGCTATGTTTTATCTAGTCTAGGCAGGAAAAAACTTTTCCATGCTGCTGAGAGAATTTGAGAGAGTATGAGATCTGTAAACCAGTCTATGAGCAACGCAGAAAGTATTTGGTCAACCGGATCAAAGCTGGAGGGCTCCTTTTCCCTCTTAGTTTCTTTGCAGTTTAGATATTGATGTGTCCACCCGTTAATGTGGACCTGAGCGTGATTGTCTGAAATCTCAGGGGGTCGAACAAAGCCCGCAACCGACACGCTCGCTCAGCAGGCAAGCGAGGTTGCCAAACTAAGCAAGAGTCCAAAATGTTGCATCGGCAAAAAATAAATAAATAAATAAATAAAACCCGGAAGGCGGGAGGGGTGGGGGAGGAAACCGTCACGATGCAAACCGAAAAAAGGTGCAGATGCCTGCCTAATTCACAACATTATACTGTGAGCTCTTAATGCCCACTTAGTAAGACAGACAAGTAACAATGCCGACATTGTTGAAATACATAAAAGCTCAAGCACGGCATCTTAAGCACCTCTTCAGCTCTTACGGGCCTTTATTACTCCTCTGAAGCCAGCAGCTGAGGACTGAAGCAGAGGGAGGAGGCTGAACAGCTGACCATCCTATACTTTTCACGAAAATATAGCACAAGGGCTCATGATGACATACCTGTGGCAAATTACTCAGCCAACTCAACAACTGTTTTCCTAACTTTTGTCGAGCTAAATCTCGAGTGGGTGGTTGTGTTCTGATTCCTGCCCACCACTGAAGTGTTTGCGTAGTTTCTGTTGAACGGTGAAATGTAGAATCTTTCTATGGGGTGTCTGTTATAAATGTTCATCCAGCATTCAGGTGTGTGCAGGCAAACGAGAGGTGGCAAATTTGAGGTTTTACCAAATTACCGATTTAAATGCCAGATCATGTATGTTTAACCTGAACAGTGTAAACAAAGTTGCCTACAAAAACTTGTCTGCAGGCAGTGTCACAAGCAATTAATCGCCTCTGGAATAAATGATCTCTAAAAATTTGAATTTAATGGTTCATCGGTACAAATAATTGCATCCCAGTCTGTATCATTGTCTCTTCCGCATGACCATAGCCTTGATAGCATTCAAAGAGATAAGCTTTTGCACAGGAGCTTTTTTTTTTTGCAAGTGATGAAATTTACAAACAGGAAATGAAACTCCTCTGATGTTTAAAAAAAAAAAGACGTTTATTGCAGAGCAGTATGCTGGAGGAGAGAAAATGGGATGACAGCAAAAGGCAGTACAAGCTGCAGACAAGGAACTTGAATCTAACTGAATCAGCAGAGCCATTTCTGTGGACCGCAGCCAAATATGCAATCCCTGTGAGGATCAACAGCCCGGTGAACAAACAACAACAACAACAACAACAACAGGGAAATAATTGAGTGAAGAAAATAGTGAACTTAATGAAAGAAAAGTTGCGTTTGAAGAAATAAGGACTTTGCACTTTCGCTTGGAATTTGATACTTTAGCACAGCGAGAGACGAAGAAAAAACTAACCCTTAAGAATGAAAGATGAAAGTGTGTATTACACGCACCGCCATAAAACTGTTAAAGCAATGCAAGTGTCCACACACGTAAATAAGTCATTGGAGGAGGCGTGAGGCAGCGGGTAGTGACCCTTCCACCGTTTTTAGAAATAGAGCAGCACAGTTGACCTGCCAGCTAGTTCTCATCTTTTTCACTGTGCGCTGGCTTGTTGGACTGGATGTGCAAAAGCAGCAATAAGGCATCCAGGATTTAAAGACCAGGGACAGCCTCCCAATGTGTTACATCTCTGTGAGAGGAATCATTTGAATAACAGGTCATTCAACTCTCAGGCGATCCTCCAACGGCAAAGCAACATAAATCACTGAGCGGAAATTATGTCTGTTCACATGACGATTTTGGCAATCTCCGAGGGAGCTTTGCTGCTAAATGCACAGCTACATCAACGTGGACATCCTCAGTGTAAAGCTTAATGGGAATAGCGCAGTTAGTTTTCAGATTTTTTAAGCTCAAATCTGCTCCAGATACAGAAAAAAAGCCCCCCAAAAAACAATGAAAGCAGTGAGATGGAACAAACTCTAAATAGAAAAACAAGTGGTAAAAGCCGTGTCATGGTGTCAGTTAAAAATTTTATAACAACTAAATTAAACTGCTGCTTAGACTGAGCTGTCACTCTGACATGACTTCTCCCTAACTCAAGCCCACTGGTCTTCTGCTCATGCACCCACAAATGATAATATATGTGCCCTCTAGTGGAGGATAGAGCAAAGTAAGAAGGAAGCCAATCTTGATGATAAGTTGCAGTTTTATTTTCGAACAACAATCGAGGTGTTTTGCTCTGCTGCATGAAGGGATTTTGGTAAAGCAAACACTCTCTAACTGTCAGCCATCACACGACGGCCAAGGCCACTCGTTTCAGTAAGTCGTTGGATTGGAAGCATTGTGTTTAACGAACCATCCTGCCTCCCTCCTTATGAGGATTTTATGGCTTGTTAAAGAAAAAGGCATCAGCACTGACGCTGCCATGAGTTTGGTTTTCCTTCTGCTGCTGGTACGGGCGCTGCCGTGCCGCGTGAGGTCAGGGGTCACGCTGAAAAGCTACAACGCAGATGCCGGGAGACCCGAAATCTAATGCGCGGTGTGGAGGATAGAGACCGAGGGATGAAAAGCAACCTGGATAAACAGAGGTGAACAAAACCCTGCGTGCAACCCAAATGCCCAGAGAATCCTAGAGAAAGCTTCCAGAGGGGCAGATCTCTACGGTCCATTCATCAGAAAAGTGGCCATTCAAGTTGTTGCCCTTTGTTTTTATTTTAGAGGTATAGTTACGCTCAGGTAAAGAGTGTTCATACAGTACCATTGTGGCGTTAATAAGATTGAGATATGGGCATATATGATGCCTGATGTGTGTCAGTCACTCTGATGTCTCACAAATAGGTTTGCATGACAAGGATGCAAATCTGGAGATCTTATATTACGTTTTGAGGACAGCTCAAACTTCTCTGGGTTCTGGGAACCACGTCTGCAGTTTGACTTTGGTAATATTATTTGGATCTTTTTGTCGTTTTCATTTTTTTTCCTTGCTCTAGGTTGTGTTCTCATCTTTGTCCAATGTTTTCAAGCCTCCCCCCCAAAAAAAGGTATTCTGTCATCTACGTGAGCTTTTCGTTAGCCTTTCCCTATGTCTCTCTGCTGCCAAGAAAATCTACAGATGTATGAGATCACTGACAGTCTTTGCCCCCAGTCCCAGTCTAACTTGAGGACAGACAGGATTTTACTGCAGAATTTGTATTATGGAGTGGGCATTTCTTTTCTCTTTTTTTCCCCAGCTTTGTGCTTCTTTTAAGTAATCACTCTGCCCAGCCTGGGAGGCTATATCTCCTGCCTGATGCAGACAGCATTATGGCTGAGGCAGCCACTGTGGGGGGGGGGGGAAGCAGATCTCTTTCCCTGTCCCTATTTTTGGGAGGAGGGTCTTGTTTAATGACGCTATTTGAGACCCCGGCGTAAACAGGGACTCAGCAGACGCACGGCGAGCCTCAGCTGTTGCAGATTAATCATCGGGAGGACGTTTCACTCCCGCAAAACCATGAATGTCAGCTCTACCTGAGGGGGGGAATCCCTGTTGGAGCATCCACAGGCCCCGTATAGCACCATATAGAACTTAAAGGCTGTGGGGGATGCGTGCAGGCCCGCGTGCGTGAACTCCAAAAAACACTGACAGGCCACGCAGGAGAATCCCCAGATACAGGGGAACCAAATAAATAAATAAATAAACAAAAGCGCAAGCTCCACGGCGCAAAAAAAACGTGGAAATCCAGGTGTTCCAGCCAATCAGCAACAGGGCGAGCTCGGCAGCCTGTAACAACCCGGGATCCGTTCCCGGTCCCGACACAGACGCCTGCTATTAGAAATGTCACACACCCATTTAGACCTTATCACGAATCCGCTTCGGCCAGATTAGACGGATGGCGTTTGCGCGGTGGTTTGAAGGCAGGCGGGGTTTAAAGGAAACCTGTGCGGAGCAAACGTTCCGGAGTGGGAGACCACATCACTTATCGACATTTGCATATAGAAATAATAATAATTTTAAAAAATGCGTCTTTCGTGATTCCTTCCCTGTCACACACACTGCGCTCCTTCACTTGTGCATGGCGGCGCATTCGTTGGAAACCTACCTGGATTTGGATGTCGAGGAGTTTTCTGTGCACAGGCAGCTGAACAGCTCCTGTCCAGCATCCCCCCCCCCCCCTCTTTCTTTTTCCTGCTCGCTTTCGCCGTGCCGAGCCGCTTGCCAACAGTCTCAAAATAGGAAATCGCTTAATTCGAGCGCGCTCCCCTCGAAAAAAAAAAATATATATGAACCCCCCCTCCCCAAAAGCTAGAGCCACTGCCTGGTCCTCATCCGCGGGAGGAGCGGGTCCCCCCCTCTGCCTGCTCAGCACCGGACAGCGTTCTGGATCAAGAGTGGCCAGAGGGGTGGTCGCCCTTTTTTCCGTCCTGGTCACCCTCCTCCCCTCAGATCCCACTGGTCTGAGTGACAGAGCTGTCAGGAACGACGGAGAAGGAGGAGGAGGAAGGGG